AACATGGTCTTTTGATACTTTCATGTAAGGAAGCTATTTATCTAGCTTATGGAATGTCGAGTTTCTACTCAGGTACCCGATTGTGCCTGAAATAATTCTAGGAAGGGCACGTCGGCATATGACCTATACTGTGTCGATATGACGCAAACCCCAATCAAGCAAACAAAAATATTTAGTTTATACAAATTTATTTTAGTTCGATTGTGTTGGAAGCTATAAGCTTAAAAATATTTATTTGACATGCATGTGAAAGTTAATTAATTAAAGAAATCACATAACATTTCCAAGCATGCTAAAATCTTTTGCAGTTTTGTTATACAATATCCGTAAAGAAGGTAGAACTCAACTATACACTGTAACTTTGGGTACTCAAAAGTCCTAAATTGCTTTCTACAAAACCAAAGAAGTAACAACACTGTTGTGCTTTGGCAAGAAATACGCAAACAAATAAAAATTAAAATATACAAAGTGTAGTGTGAGAGAAATTTCTCATTCAAAACAGAAAGTACTTTAATTTCAAAATTTAGGTGACAGAATTTTTTTTCTGAGCCGTCTTGTATATAACCATCAGTGATCATTACGGTCTTCCATAAAACATTTGTCAGGCACAGCTGACGCATATGCAACATTTTTAACATTTCTGGCTCATACAGAATGTATGCCACAATCTCATTCGGCTCCAACTTGCGTTAATTTTCTAACAATACATTTTCAATCGCGTGTGTAGCTTAACGTTTTTTCGCATTTACTAAACTTGAAAATTGTTTTCAACGAAAACAAGGTCGAAATAAACATTTGTCCGAATCTATTGAAGTTTTAGCGTACGTTCCGTACAGTTGTTGAAATAGAATAATGGCAAGTGTTTGATGTACCTTTGTATATACATTGTAACAATCACAAGCCTTTTTCTACATATATCGGTTTCACTTTTTCTTGTATATCAGACTGACGTTTCCGTGAGTTTTACCCATGCCGGAAATTTCATCTGGCATGGGGGGTGCCAGATGAGTCGCGTGCCAAACAACAACGTCATTTTCGCGCACTTTATAGATGGACCGCGTTAAAATGTCGTCGTTTTAGAAGGGAAATATGTGCTTAGGATGACGTCATGTCGCCGTTGTTATTTAAGTTGTAAGTTCATACGCTACTGTAAGAAAGTAGTTATGGAGGAAATGACTTAAATTTCCATGAATATATATCATATTCAGGTAAACAATTTTAAATATGAAATATTATGGCAGAATATGCAAGAAAAAATATCTGACATATGATTGCGGTTCCGATCGGAATATCCGTCCCTCGGGAACCCGCCCATGGGCGGGTCCCTCGGCACGGATATTCCGGTCCGAACCGCAACATATGACAGATATTATTAGTCTAACATTATAAATAAGTGATATTCTCTTTGAAATGAATATGGTAACAATAGTAGCTTTTTTAATGCACTTAAACCCTGAATATGCTAGGATAAGCATGACTTAGTCTCTTAGTCATTAAAAGTTCCATTTATCGATTGCAGAGACTGAATTATTTCAGTAAAATGAGCGTCTTTCCTATGTATTGGTTTGGAACGTACACGTTATGAACCCTCAAGTAATAATGTTTCAGCAAATAAATGGTATTTCCGTTCATACTACATAAGTTGATGAATGTATTCCTGCCTCGTCTATTTTCCTATTGTATGTGTTTCTTAACCAAAAACCTGACAAAAACAAAGATTATTATTATATCATTTCGTTTAAGGTAAACATGATAAAGCTAGCATGTCGAACGATAAATTACCTTTAGTACAATTGAGTAAATGTCTTGTTAGCAATCGTACCTAATTTCTTAAAACGTTTTGTACGGAAAATCTTCTTATTTAGCTTTAAACTACTGTAAAAAAGGTTTTCTTTTAATAATTTGATTTTCTTTTTCTACGAATTGTCAATTATTAATTATTATTTTTAATCTATAAATTTTCTGGAATAGTTTCTAAAGGAAGCTTATAACTTTGTTAAAATACATTTAAGATTGTTTTTTTATCCACATTGGCAAATTTGTCCATAACCTACCTACTGGAGAATGCTACTTTCTCTTCTCTCTTCCCCTCGGTACGTGTACGTCGTTGAGAAGACACAGGACAGGACATCGGCAAGACGGCCAGTTGGCATGTTTTCTACAGCTCGGGGTTACGTTTAAGGCGGCACGACTTAGCTTGCATGTAGTTAACTACCGGTGTCCTGACTAAAGCTGCGGAGAATGGCACTACAAAGTAGGCACTGAGTCGACGAAGATAGTGTGCTAGGGTGCGTGAGCCCCAAGCACGGTGTTTTGCTGGCGCAAACAGCCCTTTTTAGGGCTACCCTTTCATATTGTCTCAAGTTACTGTATATTTAGGTTCTCATTGACCGCCGTACAGTGACATACTTTTGGCTTAAAATTTATGTCTTTGGCTAATACTTGGAAATTGCATGACGGTAAATTATCACTACTTTGGGCTTCAAAATTTACTCTTTAACCCATTACTTCATGAGCATTTTGTGAAAAATGGCTGTTTTCATAGAAAAGTCTCCCGTTACAAGTTCAAATTGCTATAATACTATAAAAACTGCTTCAACACTAATCAAACTTGGCACAAATGTTGACTGGACCATTGCCCTTGCAACAACATGCTCAGGCTTAAATTTTCTGTTACCATGGCAACGAGGGGACATCTCAAAATTGCCAAAAATCACTATTTTGCGTTGATTTTTTCCATCAAAATTGATTTCAAAGTGCTGCAACTTCTCAATGGATTGAGATAGAGTCAAATGCTTTTCAGCGTTGGTTACACGTTACCTTATGATCAATCTGGGGTCATTTATAGCCTCTCACAAGTCCAAAATTTTCTTGGCGATGAGGGGGACTCCGCCCCCTTCAAACCCCCCAAACAGAAGGGGGCACATCCCCCTTCTTGCAACCCCCTGATGTATCTTTTGGTTGGGGGCCGCGCCGAAAAAGAGGTCACTTTTTTAACAACATTTCTCAAACAAAAACAAGTGTTGGGGACCTAAATAAGGCATTTTTTCACCATTTGAGACACCAAAAAGGGGGGGGGTGAAAAAGGCGTTAAAAGGCGTGTATATAACGTAATGGGTTAACAGAAAATGATGAAAATACTTGAAATTACCCTAAATCGCGTTTTTTCATGTTTAAACATGGCCTGTTATATAAATTTGAAGAAAAATTGTTGTTTTGTAGATTTTTTTATTTTTGTCATTAACCCATTACTTCATGAGCATTTTGTGAAAAATGGCTGTTTTCATAGAAAAATCTCCCGTTACAAGTTCAAATTGCTATAATACTATAAAAACTGCTTCAACACTAATCAAACTTGGCACAAATGTTGACTGGACCATTGCCCTTGCAACAACATGCTCAGGCTTAAATTTTCTGTTACCATGGCAACGAGGGGACATCTCAAAATTGCCAAAAATCACTATTTTGCGTTGATTTTTTCCATCAAAATTGATTTCAAAGTGCTGCAACTTCTCAATGGATTGAGATAGAGTCAAATGCTTTTCAGCGTTGGTTACACGTTACCTTATGATCAATCTGGGGTCATTTATAGCCTCTCACAAGTCCAAAATTTTCTTGGCGATGAGGGGGACTCCGCCCCCTTCAAACCCCCCAAACAGAAGGGGGCACATCCCCCTTCTTGTAACCCCCTGATGTATCTTTTGGTTGGGGGGCTGCGCCGAAAAAGAGGTCACTTTTTTAACAACATTTCTCAAACAAAAACAAGTGTTGGGGACCTAAATAAGGCATTTTTTCACCATTTGAGACACCAAAAAGGGGGGGGGGTGAAAAAGGCGTTAAAAGGCGTGTATATAACGTAATGGGTTAACAGAAAATGATGAAAATACTTGAAATTACCCTAAATCGCGTTTTTTCATGTTTAAACATGGCCTGTCATATAAATTTGAAGAAAAATTGTTGTTATGTAGATTTTTTTATTTTTTTCATTAACCCATTACTTCATGAGCATTTTGTGAAAAATGGCTGTTTTCATAGAAAAGTCTCCCGTTACTAGTTCAAATTGCTATAATACTATAAAAACTGCTTCAACACTAATCAAACTTGGCACAAATGTTGACTGGACCATTGCCCTTGCAACAACATGCTCAGGCTTAAATTTTCTGTTACCATGGCAACGAGGGGACATCTCAAAATTGCCAAAAATCACTATTTTGCGTTGATTTTTTCCATCAAAATTGATTTCAAAGTGCTGCAACTTCTCAATGGATTGAGATAGAGTCAAATGCTTTTCAGCGTTGGTTACACGTTACCTTATGATCAATCTGGAGTCATTTATAGCCTCTCACAAGTCCAAATTTTCTTGGCGATAAGGGGGACTCCGCCCCCTTCAAACCCCCCAAACAGAAGGGGGCACATCCCCCTTCTTGCACCCCCCTGATGTATCTTTTGGTTGGGGGGCCGCGCCGAAAAAGAGGTCACTTTTTTTAACAACATTTCTCAAACAAAAATAAGTGTTGGGGACCTAAATAAGGCATTTTTTCACCATTTGAGACACCAAAAAGGGGGGGGGGGTGAAAAAGGCGTTAAAAGGCGTGTATATAACGTAATGGGTTAAGGGCCTGACTGGTGACATGTCCGGTGTCCTTACTCGACAGCGACAGACAAGATACTATATCAAAATGTCTTTTGTCTTACATAAATTGTTTTGGAATGAAAAGACGGATATCTAGGGGCTTTTGTTTGAGACAAGTATGTGTGAAATAATATACTAGTAGCATGCAGACAGTGCCCTTAATTATTCACAACTACTAAGTGGATAATACCTGCAACTTTACAAGTTTAAAACAAAATCGTTTGTTTGAAGTGCAAATTCAGTCTTTGATGTTCTTGTAACTTGGCCTTAAGATTCATTCTTTTCACACAAATTATTTAGTAAGCACGATTCGTCTATTCTAAATGCGCAGTAACCACAGATTCGTGTCCGTCTTTCTTCTGAGAAGACGTGTTTTAAATCTGAACATTTTCAAGGTGATTTTATGACAGGAAAATGTCCGATTGGAGAGGCGTTGAAGCAAAAACTGCCTTATTAGGTGTCTGCTTTTTTACAATGCTCCTCGGCATGATACCGGCTTATTCAATTTCTTGGACTAAATACAGCTTTGAGGACAACTCCGTGGAAGCCACGTGTATTCCTGAAGAAGCTCAATTTGTTGCCGACGACGTTTCTGATTCATTTGCATGCAGCAAGATGTGTTACCTGAACGACAAATGTCCCTCCACTTTCTTTCAACCGGAAAGTCATCGGTGCATTGGATGCCAGATGTTTCTGAAAGGTGCTCCTCTGCCGACATCGACCGGATCAGTACATTTTTCAATTAGAGGTAAGTTGAATAGAACATTCTTATTTATCTGTATAGCAATGGCCTGTTTTTGTCCGAAAGCAGATTGTTTTATAAAAAAAAGAATAGCTCTTATGAATCGCTCCCTTTCCTATCTACTTTTTATGTTACAGACTTTTGCATTGAAGACAGATTATTGTTGTTTTTTCTTTGGGTAGGGCTTAAAATCAATTAACATTATGGTTTCAGACTATGAGATTGATTGTAAAGACATTCTGGAGAAAAATGAGGGTGCCGAAGATGGCGTATATCAGATAACCTTGAGGAACTCGGAAACAAAACAAGTTTACTGCGACATGACAACAGACGGCGGGGGGTGGACGGTATGCTTTAATTTCTTAAATCAATTACAGAGTATTTTCAAATTAACACGAGTACACTTTATGAATCAAATAATGGATGCGTGCGTTGTATTTTGTATACATTTATATCAAGTTCATCATATCTTAAACAAGTATTACTTTTAGAACATTGATTTCATGTGACGTCAAAGCGCACTTGCTAGACTGTGACTCGCGTGAATTATTGTCTACCACAAAGGCTACGATGTCGCAGAAACACAACGTCTGCGACACGTTTCATAAAACAGTCGTAAGACGTTGTCGCAGACGTACGACAACGACAATAAAGTGTCGTAGACTACGACACGTTGATAAAACGTCCACCTGGTCTCTTAGTACAATGCATTTTAATTCTTAGCCTGCTGTTCAAAGGCGACTGGTTCTATACAGCGAACATCAGACAGTCGCAAATATCCCGGACGATCATAGTCTATAATATTTTTCGCTATTTAAGTTATTTTGAAAATATTTTCTAAATAATATGAAATTTATAGTTGTTGTCCAGCTTGAAAGATTGACACGCCAAATATAAGATATTTAGCATGGAAAGGATTAAAATATCAATATTAAATGTTTTTTGGATATAGATGTATAGCATTTCACCGATACACATTATGTGTTTAATTGTTATGCTTTATCAATGAATTTTTCAGGTTTTCCAAAACCGGTTTAATGGCTCGGTTGATTTTTATAGAAACTTCTCAATGTTTGAAAACGGATTTGGTGATATCAGCGGTGAATTCTGGCTCGGTAAGCTTCATTCATTCTTTTTTCAGTTTCAATTACAGATTTTTTGCTTACTTAACTTTCTGACTCGGAGAGCATTGTACTGATTTTGAGACAGCAAAGTCAATTCATTATACATAATCTTCAGAAATATTTAATGTTTCGGTGTAGCGTAATTGTCACATGCGATGTAATATAACCACCCGTATGATTATAACGCGACACCGGATCACACTCTTTTTATAAACATGAATTCGCTCCGAAGGATATTGTTGTCTCTAAAATGGAATGGTGCGAGCCCTACTTACAATTGTTAGACTTATGTGAAGTTGCGATTTTAATCACCAAACGCACTCACCATATTAGACAATATTACAGAGATCGCTTTACCTTTTTCAAGGGGGTCATACCATGCGTGCGCATTCTCAAAATTCACTTTTTCAACCGTTTTTTTTTTAACACAAACGAGGCATGTAAAGCAATCAGAATAGATTTGAATTTAATTTCTTTAGCAATTTCTTTTCAGTTTTAATATTCCAAATGCCTTGACACAATTCTTCTCTTTCTTGTCAGTATTTCGCGTAAAATGCGATTTTGATTTTGGATAAATGCGTACACCCGGCGTTGAAATGTTACAGAAATTGAGAAATTGTCGATTTAACTGAAAGTTTCACACAGCTGGAAGTTTTTTTTATTGCAAAAGAAATTAAATTCAAATCTATTCTGATTGCTTAAATTAACATGCCTCGTTTTTGTCCAAAATACGGTTGAAAAAGTGTTCGCGGTATCAGAATTTTGAGGATGCGCGCGCTTGGTATGACCCCCTTGTTTTAAGACCATAAGTCCTTGTGCCAATTTAACATGTTCTATAAAAAAAGACAAATCCTACGTGGGAGATAAAAAAAGCCTAATTAGGAGTTTATAACTCCTACGTAGGACTTTATAACTCCTATGTAGTAGATAATAAAGCCTAGTTAGGAGTTTGTATCTCCTTAGATGGACTTTATGACTTTATAAGAAATAGATACAGAATGCTTTGCAAATCTCAACATTACGGACCGGTATATCGGCGATAGACCAAGATACTTAATCCCCATCCCGCCGAAATTTTAAATCTGAAATATTGAGGACACTTTACCTTTGGTTGTTTATACATAATTTATTTAAGTTCGCCTGTGTAGGAAGCTATAAGATTAAAGACACACTTTCAAATCCGTTCCTGGAGCCAACCAGTACTGAGCAATGAGTGTAAAGTTTCTTGCTCAGGGAAACAAGGACTTGTCCCTGACTGGGTTTTAACTCATGCGGCTAGATTACTTGTGCGACACGTTGACCACTTGGCCATGTCGCCACTATTCACGTTTCAATATAGTGTCTCCGGTTTCTGGAGTATGAAGTGTCTTAGTGTGAGGTGTCTGTAAGCATGTATCCCGATCAATTGCTTCACGGCTCTTCGAAACATTTACTCGGCAAAAAACATTTAAGATATTAATATACACATATATCAAAATTTTAAAAAGGCTTTAAAGTTTACATTTTCCATACGAACTAGCAGAATTAAACGAGTAATTAATCCATTTTTAGCCGTTTCGAATAATTTAATCCTTATAGGGGCGGGGGGGGGGGTGAGGTGTCTTGTTCTTGTTCCACTCCGAAAAGTGCGAATTACGATTCAGCAATTAGCAGCTATAGTCCTTAAAAATGATATCTATATCCTTACCGTGATTGAACCAAAATCTTCAACCCATGCATTTTTGTATATTCAACATAACTTACGTACTTAATACAGAATCATCATTTAATATATGTAGGTAATGATTTCTTTAGTAAGTTCAAATTTCGAAACTAGTTTTATTGCTCAAAATAATTTAGATTATTAAGTTCTGTTATTTCGCTCAAGATCATTTCTGGCTCCAGAATAATTGTTTATATAATAGTGGTTTGCCACAATTACAATTTGACACATATAATTTATTTTCCTACATGTAATATGATATCCTAGGTTATACTCTAGCATACTTTCTAACATTTCAGTCGCACTCTGTGCTTTCAGTACTTATATGTATCCTACGTTATAAACTCCTAATTAGGCTTTTTAATCTCCTACGTAGGAGTTATCTTTTTTAAAGAACATGTTAAATTGGCACCAGGACGCTTCCAAAATTATTTGCTTGATTGTAATGTCGAATAAAGTTAAGAGAGAAAACAAATTTTAGAGTGGAATTTGTTGATTTTTACAATTAATTTTGTGAAGAATTAGTCGTCTTAATAGAGGATTTTTATTGTATAAGGCAGCAGAAAACAAAAGCATTCCTTTCTTTGGTGAATTCAGTTTGGCTGCTTTGATCCCAAGGGTAAAGAAAAGCTCACGAAATTTCTTAAGCCTAAAAGTGGATTGGTTGTTTAAACTTTGAATTCTAATTTAGGTCTAAAGTATGTACAGGAACTGGCGGAATTGCCTACTGAACTTTGGTATGATGTGTCATTTATGTTTGGTGATCATGCACATGAAAGATACGATCGTTTCAAACTTATTGGCGAAAGGTACATACTTTTCCTAGATGCAGAACCTGCAGAGAAAACAGGTAATAATATTCAGATAACATCATCTTATCATCTGAAAAACTATGTTGAATATAATTTTTTATTATGAATTATTTTTTACTTTAGTTTTTGTTGTTTATTTTGTATGTGTGTACTGGAGTCGTCCAATAATCGATTACTTCTTTGATATATATTGTATATTGTCTCCAAGAACAAATATCCTATCTTCTCTATTAACTAATGTTTTTATCTGATATCTTATTTTACCTTTTGAAGACCTTAGGGGGCAGGGGACATATTCGAATGATGGCCCAGGTCAAATTTTTTAATAACTCAGACATGGTGTTTTGAAGGTACTGATAACTTCTGATATTTCTCTGTCATTGTAATTCTTTCTTGTTTGTGTGTAGTAAATGAGATATATTTTTGTGTTTTTACCCGAAACTAAGCATTTTGGTAGCTTTGTATGTATTTCTGACTCTCCGAATGGAGGTGAAAAAGTTAAAAATCAAGCTTTGACAGTTGGCGCCAAACAAGTAAGAAATTTCAAATAAATTTTGTGAAAAATCTAAACGTATGACAGACACTTTATTTGTCATTTCTGAAAATGCCATAGCTTGCAGTGCGTGTTACTGATATTTTTAAAGGAATCGGGCGGATTCTGGAGTATGCTGCACCTTCATGAAGATTGCCCATATTGGTATATTTTAGGTGTGATTTTGGCTGGGTGGGGGTAAATATAAATTGCTGTCAGTCATTTTTTGAATGAGCAATGCATACAAACTATTATTTTTTTCAATGTTTGTCATATATCATTGAATAATGCTGTGCAACTGGTTATATGCCTGTGAAACATATTTTGAAATATTTGTAATTGTGTTTCTGGTCACACTGAAATACAAATTTTTTCATTTTTAGGTCCCCTGCCCCCTTATATCTACTTAAAACTCATTTGTTTTAACCCAAAACGCTGTTTATATGACAACTGGAGAAAAAATAATCTGTTTCATGATGAAACGGTCCATTTCAACGCTTAATTCGCTAACTGGCATTGGAAACGCTGCCACAATTACATTTCTAACACAATTATAACAACTGTACGTTTTCTGGAAACTGTAATCAAATCTACATCGCATAGCATTCTCTGATTTTCAATATTTGATGCAGAATCTGATTTTCGATATTTGATGCAGAATTTACAAAATGTATAAAAAATAAAAACACTTGACCCTTGATTTTAGCGACATGCACTAGCTCGGAAGTAGCTATAAAGCGATTTACCGTTTACCTCCGAAAGAGGTAGTCTCTATCATTTACCAGGCGTGGTTTCTCTCCGATACTTTTTATTTTTTTTTTATATTTTATAGGCCTTGCGAGCTTTGTCGATGGTTTTGCAATTCTGAATGGAACTGAATTTTCACTGTGTAATCCAAACGTATTGGATCTGTGCCACGGTTGGTGGGGGCGAAGTTCTGTTACGTGCGGCGCAATCAATTTCAACAATGATTATGGCTACGGTATTAGCTTGTTCAGCCAATCGTCGGGTCCATTTAAAACGACTCGAATGATGATTCGGAGAAAATAGAATCGACGGCATTTTGACATAACCGACGATGACCTTATTGCATTACAGTGACCAATGACACAGCACATAAACCTTCGAGAGTCTACAGCTTAAAGGTTATTAAAAGTCAATCCAGTGTTTGAGAGAGATTGAGAGACCACTATTGCGATATAAGACATGTATGAATATTGTGTATTTTTATATCTCACTTAACTGACTTTTATTATAATTTCTCAAAAAAGAAAAGAAAAGTAAAATGTGACATGACAAAATCAGCAGTTAACTTTACTCCTATTATGTAAAACAAACCTAATGCCCCGGTCACATATTCACGGATAATGCCACGGAAGAGCTACGGTCTAATCGCTCACGGATCACTTCGGAAATGTGAAATTCCGTGGTCCGCTACGGTTCCAGTACGGACACACAACGGTATGAGTACGGAGCCCGACGGATTTACCACCAAAAGCCCCCGGAGAGACACGGATTGTCACGGACCGACACGGTTTGATACGGAGCGACACGAATCAGGACGGACGCACTACGGATACACTACGGTCTGCTACGGTATAAGCACGGGTTAGTACGAATAAGTACGGTCTGATACGGAGAAGAACGTATTGATACGGAGAAGAACGAATTGCCACGGATCTATACGGACCTAATACATCCGTCCACAACCTCTTGCTTATGCCTCAAAAGTAAGGAATACCTAGAAAACGAATTGCAGAGTTCAATGATTTTGGCGGGGAGGATTCAGCCTAATCGCGTCCGACCCCCGAGACACATCAGGTCCAATTAAAGTGAATTTCTTAAAGGACGCTGGATCCTCAACAAGTTCGACCATGCGAGCATCATACTAAACATAAAGCGGTCTTCGTAAAAGCCCATCTCTAGTCCACCATCTCGTCTGTCTTCTCTTATCTGATTAGATATGGACTAGTAATCATTAATGAAAAATGTTGATCAATACTGCTTCTCTTTTAATTTTAAAATTTGTTGTTCAGCTTACAATTACCTTAATTATCGTGATGTTTATGTTTTAAAAATATGTAAAAGCTTGTTAATTAATCTTATTATCACTCAAGGGCCAGTGTCCGAGGCTTATGAGACACTTCGTTTTATGTACATATTCACTCCAATTTCACGATCCAATGTTTGTAAAATATGTAGCATTAAAAGTTATTCTATTACTTATGAATTGAAGTACGATATCAATATAAATTTACTTCTATGCATGTCATCAAGCAGCTCTGTAACACCGCACTTTGGGGTCAAACGCACTTTGGGGTCGAACCCCAAAGTGCGTTACGCACTTTGGGGTCCAATTTCGACCCCAAAGTGCGTTAAACAGGTACATATGCATTTTTCAACATCAGGCAAACGACCGCACTTTGGAGTCAGAGAACATTTATGTTCATTATGTTTTAAATAATAAAGTGTAGTCAAAGCCAATGGTAAACAAAAATCAAGGTATTAAATAGACACAAAACATGTGCCCTGAATCAATAGGGATTTAAATGGTCTTGATTAGTAAGTGAAGAACTTTCACAAAATAAATCACCAAAAAAAAATTTGTATCAATGCAGCACGCCTCCAGATTCACGCTAATTTTCATGAAAATTTTGAAAATTTATTTGAATGTATAATATTGTGGAACAACCAAAAGGAAACAATTTGCACATTATCAATGGCACTTATAACTTACGTAAATTACCAAAAAGTTGTCAAAATATGCATAAATAGCCCTTAATGCGTTAGTAACGCAGTAGGAATATAGTTGTTAATATTGAAAACTCAGTCATTGACCGCACATAATATGTAAAATATTACTTGAATCTTGAATCATTTTACATTTCCTATAACCGTAGTACATATTTCTCAAGTTTGATTTTATTGAAATATTTTGACTCATCTGGAGGCATGCAGCTTTAAGCTTAAAATATGTTTTTCTAAAATTTTCCATTTATTTTAAAAGAATGTACACCTTTCATTAACTCCATTGTTTTTAGCTAAATGCATCATTTTCCCGTTTGTTATTTACACATTTTACAGAAATATGATAGTCTTTGCATAGACAAAGGTATAAATTCTGGGTAATCTTAGTAAGACATTTCAGTAAAAAAATTGCCTGATAATATGTTAAAATAGCCATTCATTTAGCTAAATGTGACACATTAGAAACTTGACTAGGTGAAGATGCGGCTTTAAGTAGTAGTCCGTACAGGCAGTCAAAAAATATCAACTATTTAAGTAGTCGCACATTAAGAGCGAGCTTCAGAATAATGTAAAATTCTCACTGGGGGTATAGAGGGGATTGTGGGGTATCGATCTCCCCGAGGTTTAAAAATAACATTTTAAAGGCCCATTATGCTTTTATTTGTTTTTCTTCAGCTTTTTTATTTTGATGTTCTTTTATATTATCAAAAAAATACACATTGGCCAATTACCTGATCTGTTGCTTTTTGACAATGATGAGTACAGTACTGTTATAGTGATAAGTAGTTTACATGTTTTATATGGAAGTCAAATACTACATTGTTTTGACTACTTTTATGACAAATAATTTCACATTTATCGCTACTTTATTCAGGTAACAAGCATCTTACATTTCTCTGATACCATTATTTTATCATTATAAAATACATCTTTCTAAAGAAGTATGTAAGATTTCCCATTAAAAAAGCATCTGGCGAACGGTTGTTACGGAGGGGAAAAAAATATTAACTGCATTTTATTTCATTCCTTACATATTTAAAATGGAGCTCAACATGGCACCAAAAGTTATCAAGTTATCAATGACTGACAGAACGGGATATTTTTCGCAGCATCTTTAAACTTTAGGAATACACGATTTCTGTACTAAAATATTTTGAACGGTGGCAAAAAAGTGACATTTGCAACTTTTTTTTTGTTTTTGATTCTTTTTTTTTTTCGCACATATTTTTTTGTTGTTTTTTTGTTTGTCATACTTTTTTTTTAGTTTTGAATACATACTTTTTTTAGTTTTGCATACATATTCTTTTTAAGTTTTGCATACATATTCTTTTTAAGTTTTGCATACATATTTTATTTTAGTTTTGCATACATATTTTATTTGAGTTTTTGGTACATATTTTATTTTTGTTTTGTTTTTTACTTTTTTTCGTACATAATTTTACATGACGCCATTTGCAAAGTAGAGGTTTGGATAATTACGCTATTTGTAAAACACAATTTTCAAACACTTCGCCATCTGTAAATTACAGTACCCCATTTGCAAACGCCATTTGCAAATACCAACATTTTCATTTTTGGAGGTATCAAAAAGATAATAACACTTTTTAGTATATATATATACAGAGACATAGATATTATCTATGTCTCTGATATATACATGTACATGTATATACATGTATATATATTTTTTTTCTAAATCAGTGGAATATAAGGACCTATTTAGATCTTTTATTGTGCATTATTGTAATACACCAGTCATTTGTAACCATCTCCCTTGCCCCCGGGGGAGTGTGGGTTAAAAAAGAATCGTGTGATATCTGCGCTGTTCCGGGGCATAAGGCAGGAATGTTATTATCTGAATATGCCCCGCAGGGCGAAGATTTTACCAGTGGTCGGCTTGGTTTTAAGTCAATGCCCCTCCCCCCACTATACTCAGGCGGTGGGGTTGAGTGGTGCATATTCATTCACCAATCAACAGCCCTTTCCAAATAGACACTAATATAATAGTAGATAATAATTAAAAAAAAATACACTAATTACATATGATTTAAAAAGTGGGCCGAAAAAGGTCGGCCGAAACCAGACTGGGCCGAAAACGACCGGGCCGATTCCAAAAGTGGGCCACAATGTGACCAAACTACTGTGCTATTGTTGTCTCAATTATCGGCTGTTATGGGATGTAACGACTGTTTTGATTGGCTATAATATATGTAAGAAAAACTTAAATAAAATATGTACGAAAAACTAAACTAAAATATGTATGCAAAACTAAAATGAAATATGAATGCAAAACTAAAATAAAATATGTATGCAAAACTTAAATAAAAATATGTATGCAATACTTAAATGAAAATAAATGCAAATGTCACTTTCATGCCACCGTAATTTTGTTATATGAACAAATTATTATTATTATTGGATATTTTAAGTGGTAAAATTAATGAAACTTTTATTACTTAAGCATCATCAAAGTATTGACCGCCATCTTGAACTCCACCTCAAATATTTCAATGTCGAAGATCGAAAATAAGTCAGTTCTCAGTATTTAAGCAGAACTCAGATTACACCTTTAGACCTCTGGAACCCAAAGTGCGTTGATATGTAGCATATTAACGCACTTTGGGGTCAATTTCTCGATTTTGACCCCAAAGTGCGTTTGACCCCAAAGTGCGGTGCGAAGTTTAACGCACTTTGGGGTCGGACCCCAAAGTGCGTTTGACCCCAAAGTGCGGTGTTACACAGCTGACCACTGCCTCCGCATTCTGAGCCATTTCAATATAAAGTTGCAGCCAGTAAATGGCAATTATCATTTATTAAAAATTCCCGCAAATATGTCTGTTATTAACAAGAAGGTAGTATTTATACCCTTGAAAAAGTACATGATATACTTAATTTATCCGTTCTAAACAGTGGTGGGATGTACCATTCCGTGTTGCAACGCAATAAACCGTATAATACCGTGCTAATCCTTGCCTCTCCGTAGTACAACGTATTACGATCGTGGCTTTCCGTGACAATGCCTTATTAATCCGTATTAAAACCGTAGCTTATACGTAGGGTAACCGTACAAATACGTAGTTCTCCGTACCAAACCGTGGAAATCCTTGACAAGTTGGTGGACTACGAATCAGTACGGACTAATACTGTTTTCGTACGGACCAGTACGTATCAGTACGGATTAATACGGACTAGTAGGGATACGCTACGGTTGATTTTTCCGTAGCAAATTTTTGTGCATGTTCAAAAATTGTCAAGGATCGCTACGGATATACAAGGACTACTACGATTGATTACGGTTACAAAACGGAGAGCTACTGACCAGTACGGGTAGCTACGGACGATGCCGGAATTAATCCGTGGCTCTTCCGTGGGCGTTTTCCGTGAATATGTGACCGGGGTATAAGATAACTTATTATTTTTAGATTAAATGCTAGTGATGACGTCATCATTAAAACTGTTTTTAAATTATTTTACATTTGTAGAGTAGAACTTTTCTTTGACATACTTGCTGGAATGCATGGTTTACAACAATACAAACTATGTACGAAAAAATATATCAAATTGAATGGCTGGTAATATTTTG